ATTAGCGTAGCAAATGCTTTTATGGAGATGAGTACATTAAACGTAAATTACCATGTATTTTCATTCACCTTGCCTCAACACTTTCATAATAAACGTAGAGTTCTTTACTTACAAACATCGCTACTCTCATTATGTTCCTTGATACTTCGGTTGTTCGCAAGGTGCAACGGGTATTAGCACGTCGATGAAGTCTCGTGAAATTCGGAGAGAACACAGAACTACGATACTTCATTGTGGTTGACGTTTTTTGCCCTGAATGGTGAGAGGTATAATCCTGTAGAGCCTCGTGCAGTAGTCGAGGAGTGGGTGCTGTTCGTGTTGTTTCGCACCCTTTAAGCGCTCGAATATAGGATGTTCGGCATAGTCGGGCGGAACAGTTCGCATTGCTGCGAGAGCAGCAATGGTGGCCGTCTCACCGGTTATCTCTACAGTATTTTCTGCGCTATTCAGGCTCTTCGCCCCCTTTGTGCGTGGGTTTTGAAATATTCGCATCCGTCTGTGTGGCGCCTGTTTCTTTCAACTGGGCAAACAATACTAATATTTTCTGTTACTGCTGGGTACCTTTTGATTTCCAATTTTTGGCCTCCACAAGACCGGCACCAGTACACCATACTTGGGACCCCACTGTTCGTGTTCAGTAGAAAGTTCTCGCGCACCCTACGTTGAAGCATCTGGGGAGGGAAAGAAGCCGATTTTCTCTATTGGGAGAAGCCCTTAGCACAAGTTAGCCTATTGCTCGAAATCCTGGTCATATTACATACAGCTCAAAACGGCACGTGCAAAAAAAGCAGGCCTATCAAGGGCCATGCCAGGATCGTTGGTATACACCATCTTTTGACATGAAGTAGGGGCTACGCGAGGTTGCAGCTTCACAAGTAACTGTTGGATTAATTTTGAATTATATTCGGATGTTCAAATCTGAGGGGTCTGGAATATGTGCTTGCAGCTATCGTGTTTGTCCAGTATTGTAGTATTCATTCATTTCGTGTCCGTGCCGGTACTAGGCC